AAAATAAAAGAAAAAATATCAAATTCAAATAAATAAATATTAAAGTAAGGAGAAATGTTAAGAATATTACTTTATTATCTTTTATTTAAATTAAGTATTAAGATATTTTATTATCTTTTAAGAGAGAAGGTAAAAAAATATTAGGTTATTATTTTGATTTAGGCAGTTATGATTGAGATATTATTTATATTTGATATTTTGTAATATTTTTACTCTATATATACATAGAGTACATGAATAGAAATATACCCACATGATATATCAGAAATACATATATACAAAACCCTAAATATTCCCATCACGAAACACACTATCAAGGGTGAATCGAGATAGTATATCGAGAGATTGTTGATCGAGACACACTATTGAGAGTGAATCGAGACAATAAATCGAGAAATGATAAAAGAAAACTAGTTCCGAAATATGAAAACTCAGTAACAAGATGATAAGAAAAAACTAGTTCCAGGAATATTGCACTTGAGGAACCAAGAAACCAGGGAACCCAAGATAAGGGAGTTTCGAGAATCGTCTATAGAGAAGTAAATCAAGAGTGGTTGTTGATCAAGACACACTATTGAGGGTGAATCAAGATAGTATATCGAGAGATTGTTGATTGAGACATACTATCGAGAGTGAATTAAGGATAGTGTATCGAGAAATGGTATATTGAGATACAACATCGAGAGATTGTCGATTGAGACACACTATCGAGAGTGAATCGAGAGATGATATATCAAAACACAATATCGAGAGAGAGAGAGAGAGAGAAAGAGCGTATCAATTCAGAATCAAGACTAAAGATTAGGAGAGAAGATTACATGAATATGAGAAATCAAATATATCCTCTAGCCAAGTTAGACCCTCCTTTTATAGCCAACTAATAACTAATTCCATTTCACATCTTAATAACTAACTTTTATGATAACACAAGAAACTATTAATTCCTTATAAAGTCGGTGGTGGACTAGAACTAAAGTCTAGCTACCAGAAGGGGGACTATAACCATCTTCCATACCTAATTCTATGCCAACGTAATCAATTAAAACAAAATTTCAAATTCACCAATAGGTGCCGAATTAAAGTCAAAATATGAAAAATAAGGAATGAAAGCTCAAACCTAAACAAATGAGGACCTTTCCCCAAACTTTAACCCTAAACCCAACCATTGCATTTTTCTTACACCATTGCTTCTTTGATTCTGCAATTCTTCTCACCTTCTATTGATGTCAAGATTCAAGTTCTCTTTTCGCTCATGCTGCTTTTCTGACTATGCAATTTTATTTTACAATTTCAGAGTAATTTTTCTTTGTCGTTCGATTTAATATTTGTAAGACCTAGTTGGTAATCTTATGAGATAGATGAAAAAGTGGAATCAATCATGTCAAATTTTTAAAATTATTATTGTGTAAGATTGAAACCTAAGTGTTCAAAAAGGAGTCTCTAAGATAGAAGTGTCAATATTGGTCACAACCTGTGAGTCAACTCGCTCACCATATGTTCTACCCAGGTTGGGTTTAAAAAATTTGAAAGATTTCAATTATGGATCAACACAAACCCGGCTCACTTAACCCACAAATTAAACAGCTCATATACATATATATCAAATTGGGAGATGAAATTGGAAGATGGGTACAAAATAGTGACTCAAGGTTGTCCAACAGAGAAGTAAGATATTAGAGGTCAGAATTTTACAATGGAGACGATGTTACTCGATCTAGATGGATTTGATTTGATTATGGGAATTGTTTGGTTGGCATCTTTGGGCAAGATGGTGGTTAACTCCAAGCGTTAAGGTCAAGAAAAACATATGATTAAAGGTTTGTTATGGTCTACTGAAATGGAGCTTGTGGCAGATGCAAATAGAGATCTTAATGATATTCAGAAAATATAGATGCATAAATTGTTAGACCAGTTTGAAGAGATTTTCAAGGAACCCAAAGGCCTACCTCCCAAGCATGGTAGAGAGCATGTGATTATGTTGGTAGACGGGCAAGGTCCAGCAAATGTTAGCCCTTATAGATATCTAAACCATCATAATGATGAAATTGAGAAGCAGGTTGCAAAATTGTTGCAATCCTGGGTTATTCGGGTCAGTCAAAGTGCCTTCTCCAGCCTGTGATTCTGGTAAAAAAGAAAGACAATACTTGGAGGATGTTCGTTGATTACAGAACATTGAATAAGGTGACAGTTCCAAATAAGTTTCCCATTCTAGTGATTGAAGAACTTCTAGATGAACTACATGGTGCCCAATATTTTTCTAAACTTGATTTGAGATCAAGCTAGAATGAGAGAAGAGGGCATCCCTAAAACAACTTTTCGGACGCACAAAGGATACTATGAGTATATGGAGATGCCCTTTGGTCTTATGAATGCACCCTCCACCTGTCAATCCTTAATGAATGACATTTTCAAGACTATGATGCGAAGGTTAGTATTTTTTTTATGATATCCTAGTATATAGTACGGGGTGGGAGGAGCATTTGCGACATTTGCAAGATGTGTTAAGGGTGCAACAACAGCAGCAACAGTTGGTGGTGAATAGAAAGATGTTATTAGTCAAGTGCTTATACAATGGAAGGGCCAAAGTATGAAAGATGCTACATGGGAAGAGGATCAAAAGTCGTTTCCACACTTGACCCTTGAGGACAAGGCTAGTCTTGAAGATGCAGGTATTGATAGGGCAAGGGATGTGGGCCTAGACATTGGCAGTAAGCCCAAGGTTTGGAGGGTGTATCAATGAAAAAAAAAAGGGGGGGAGGGGTGTGAAGAGTAGTGCTGAGGTGGCAAAAGATGTAACAGAATTAGTTAAGGAGTGAGAGGGATAGGGAGAATATACGGAAGTAAAATAAGAGGCAAGAGGTGGGGGAGATCAGGAATATTGTATTCCTTGTCAGGATCATTAACCCTACTGTATTTCTGATACTTCTTTCTGAGTAATATACTGGAATTACTTCATCCATATTCTGAGTTCTTTTGTTGATCCGTAACATCTTCCCTCTAATTCTTCATCTTCATTTATGTTTCCTTACTGCTTTTGATCAGCTTCTGCCCTCCACTCCACTGGTTCTTGGCTCTTGAACTTTATCTCAACAATTGCCTTCTTTCTCCTCGTTTATTGAATCTTGTACACAAACTTGAACTTCTGGTTGAAATTTCTTGAAGACTCCAGGTTGCACTCTGGTTGTTCTTCTCACAAGAAACCAACCATTTGAGAGCTTCTTCCAATGCACACATAACCCACAACAGTTTCATACTTCATGAACTTGCTTGGCCTTAGAATACTGCACTACCTAGATCAGCCACCAATAGGCCTCCCTTCCATCAAAATTTATAGGGAAAATGGGAAAGTTCTCCTAGATTCTAGATTGACAATTTCCCCCCACAGCTCCTAGATTGGAGCTCTGATACCAATCGATAGAAATGGATCCAATTTATAGGGAAAATGGGAAAGTTCTCCTATTTACAGTATGATTGCAGAACATCGAGGGTCTGTACCTCCCAATACTTAAATGCCCCAATCCTCTCTCAAATGACAAAATGAAATCCCTCTCAATGCCTCTTCCAATTTATATATACAGCTACTGGTCAACTAATATAAACCCACCTTTAACTGGCCTAATCAATTTAAAGCCCATTAACATAGCCCCTTGTATTTCTTTTACTAACATAAACTATAAATGGGGTTAGTTAACGAAGTCTAATTAATTTCTGACATGCTTCACGCTTAATTAAAACTAGCACATAGATTAAATGTCAGGGAGCTGAGACCACCAATATGGATAGAATACAGTAAGAGAAATAAGGGGGACTCTGGATGATGCCCTATTGTAACAGTATTAGTTAATGACTAACTAAAGTCAGTTAGTTATTAGCTGGGTGGGTATTATAAGAAAAGGTTGGAAATTACCAGTAGAGGAGGAGAGTGCAGGTCTATCCCACCTGTGATTCAGTTACATACATCCAATTAAAAAAATTTCTTTCTTAGTTACCTCGTCCAGTTCTTATCATAAAATTGGTATTAGATCTCTCTTCAGGGCAATGTGGGTATTCATGGTAAATCATATGTATCAAGTCTATTACAATATAATCAATTCTAAGATCCTGTTGTCCTTTCAACCAAATCTTAATATCATAGGCACTAATATCATAATTATTTTCATCTAACTTGTGAATGGAGAGAGACACATTGACATAATGTAACAAGCCTCACATCGGGGAGGTCTCCTTACCAAGGAGGCTGTAACAACCATAAGGCTAAGAGGGGAACAAGGAGGCTGTAACAACCATAAGGCTAAGAGGGAAACCATCCCTCAAAAGCCGGTCCAAGAGGTTGGAGAACCTCCTGTCTTATAAGGCCTCCCTGGCAAGGAGACCTCCCAAGGGAGGCCTTATAAGACTTATAAGACGGGAGGTTCTCCAACCTCTTGGACCGGCTTTTGACGGATGGTTCCCCCTCCTTAGCTTTATAATTATTACACATAATTAGTGAAAATAGACGGAATAAGCCTAACAGGAGTTGAAGTGGTCATGAACTCTACAGAAGAGAGAATTCAATAACATGAGGGAAAACAACAAGTGAAGGAAAACAAGAACCCAGTAGCATAACAGCACTATAAAGAAGAAGGTCAGAAATTAGAATGAAACACGATTTCCAAAAAAAATTGGCACTGATGGATAATGGGCCCAACAAGAAGGCCCAAGTTAGGATTTAGGCTCTAGATATCATGTTACAATAAATGGTAGAGAGACATGAATAAAATCCCTGTGTATATTATGCGTAGTAAAGGAACAAACATATATATAGATAGATATCATGATACAAAAAGAGAGATGTACTTAGGCCCATATATTTCACTATTTCTAACAGTGATAAATGGAGATAACAAATTTTGTGGAAGATGTGTATAGTTGGGTCAACAAGTCAGAGCAATATTTCAGTAAGAAGGGAGTTGTACAAAGGCAGAAGATCATGATGTATCAGGGAGGAAGGGGGCTAGTTCCTAATGCAGCTTTACAAATAATAAACCCAACAAGGACTGGAAGTCCAGGGTCCCAGGAAAGGGATCTGAATTAAGGAGTGATGCCTTCCAAGTCTCCACAGGCAGCAGACCAACACTAGGGCTGTTTATAGCAGAGGTAGATCCAACTACAAGTGATTGACAGAAGCAGAAATGCCAGAAAAGGGGAGTATTTCATGTGATGAAAAGTTTGAGCCTATCATGTATGCATGAATAAGTAGTACAATGTGCTGGTGGTAGAAGAGGATGACAAGGAAGATATGAGAGCAGGAGATTGACAGGATGGTGCCATCTAGGTGTTAAGTGGAAGCATCTATCATATAGTAGAGACCAGCAGGGTGTTTGCGGAAGACATTCTATTTTGCCTTAAGGACATGGTTGATTCTTAAGAGAAGGGTGTTGATATGGAGCTAAGACCTCCTATTAGAAGAGTCTACAGTAAGAGAAATAAGAGGGACTGAGGATGAGGCTATTGTATATTTGTAATAGAAATAGCTAATAACTAACTACACAGTTAGTTATTAGCTGGGTGGGCATTATAACAAAAGGGCTGAGGATTAGGTGTACAGGAGGAAAATTAATCATAGGAGAGTGCGGGTCGCTCAAAAACCTGTGATCCAGTTATGCATCCAATGGAAAATTCTTCTTTCTTCTTCAATCTCAGATCAGTTCCTATCATTAAAACAAAAAGGAAGACACAGATTCCAGTCATAAAACAATTCAGCTATAACCAAAAGAAATTTGTGGGAGTAACTTAACACCAAAAAACTTCACCAGATTCAAAACAATAATTTCACTTGAAAAAAATTTAACGTGTAAAAAATGTGAAGCTTGATGGAATGAAACAGTAGTATACTTACAAAACAATTGAAGAGAGGGGGAGCAGAGATGAGGATGAATCCTCTTTCTGGACAATTGTTCCGAGTTAGAGATGGAGACCATGATTCCTTCAAACTGGACTGTCGTTTGCTTAATAAAAGGAATTCATTCAAAGGTTCATGCTGCTGCAAAATGAAGTAAAGCAGAACACAATTGTAGAAGCAAACTTAACAACCAACAAAAAGAGGGACAATCACGCAAGCACAACAAAGCAAATTTTATGTCAAACAGATGAATTGCAATTTAACAAGATTTGCAAATCAAAGAGGAAAGGGGATTAGGATTTGTCCAAATCAAATGTCCCCATAAAATCAACGATAAAGCATGTCATCAATTCATTAATAGTCTTGCCTCCTATATCTAGAATCAAAATAATTTATACAATTACTATCGCATACTAACACCAGAATCTTCCTCTCCATCCAAACTCCAATTCATTCCATTGACAGCAACACCACAATCACAATTTTCAAACATCTCAGTTTACCGTAAGCTCTCCATACGATGATCAGAAAACATCAAATCTACATTTCTTGATGTTTAACTATATCCCTTAAAGGCCTAAAAAACCTTTACTTAAAATGGTGTTTCCAACACCAAGTAACATTGTGAAAAAGGGATTAATTATGCAAGTGATATAAAAAGGTTGGGAGTAAGTTAGTAGCTTACAGAGATTGAGAGAGAAGGACCGGTAAACAAAAGCCAATACTCCAATGAAATCAAGAGTAATAATCCCCTGAAATGATTTCATCCTGCTATGACCAAACAATATGTGTATTAACTGTATGTATATTGTCCTGTCTTCAAAATCAATAAAAGGAACAAAACTTTTGTACAAACCTCCAAGTGACAATAGTTGCCAATTTTGTTGGGTTTGAAATGATCCGTGTTTAGGATTTTCATCATCTCGCATTGTTACAAACTCTTCAAGCAACTCCTCTATTTACTGAAACACAGAAAGAGAAGTAAATGACTTTCTGAAATTGCCCTGCATGATATCTCTAATAGAACTACAAGCATAAATAATTTACAAATTACTTTATTGAGACTAATTTTGCTCTCGTTTTTGCATACAAGACAGTTTGAACAACTACGTTGCATAACTTCCCACCTAAGTCTAGCAATCATACCAAAGCAAAAGGATAATAAATTATTTTGTTGTGAACCATATTTATATTATTTCCTCGCCAATTCTGTCATTCAACTGGGTGGCTACTCTTGCGCACAAGCATTCCAAAGCAATAGGATAAGCACATTACACCCACAAAGAGTCACTCTCACCCTATTCCCTTGCCACAAATTTTTCATAACAAAGCAACGTCACTTCATAAAAGAAAACATAGAATAGTTCTGTAATTTGCGAAACAAATGACACTTTAAGCAACTCATACCATTCATCCAAACTTCCAGGATGCATTGAAATTAATGGAAACTAAAGGAACAAGTATCCAACTAGAGTCAAGGAAGAAATTGAAATGAAATCAATTCAATCATAAATCCATTCACACATGAATGTCTGCCCAACGCATATATGATTGGCTCATACGACAGATTTCGATGACATCCTCAATGCAGAGTTTCATACAAAGAAACATAAAATACAAATCCATTCCAATGTGAAAAAAGGCACTTAGACTACATTGATCGATCAAAGATACTGTAATGGAGAGAACCCTTACTCTAAGATACATTTATGATTAACTCATTTAGCTAAAAAGCAGAGCTAGAAGCTTTCTATCTACTCCCTAGACCGAACCAGAAAGAGATTCGAACTAAAAAAAAAAAAAAAAAAAAAAAAAAAAAAAAAAAAAAAAAAAAAAAACAACAACAAAAGGTTTCTTAAATTTGATTTCATATGTTATAGGAACATCTGTAATCCCAACTACACCACCCAAAGGACAATAAACTTCACAACACTAGCCCTAAAGCAACCCTAGTCCCCACCACCTTTTCACTTCCTACCCCCTCTTTTTGTAGCAGGCTTTTTCACCGGAGATTTCACACTCTTTGGTTTCACACTCTTCACTGGAGCTTTCTTCGCTGCTACCGCCGCCTTCTTTGGGGCAGGCTTCGCGGCAGGGGCTTTCTTCCCTGGTGAAGTTCTCGTCGAAGTCCTTGCAGCCTTTACGGGCTTAGCCTTGGGCTTTGCCGCAGGCTTAGCAGCCTTGGGCTTTGCCGCAGCGGGCTTGGGCTTCGCAGCGGGCTTAGCGGCCTTCGGCTTGGCAGCGACAGCCTTCGGCTTGGGAGCAGCCTTCGGCTTTGCAGCGGGCTTGGGCTTGGCTGGAGCTTTGGCCTTAGGTTTGGCGGCAGGCTTTGCCTTGGCAGGTGCCTTTGACTTAGTTGTCTTGGTGTCCTTGGCCTTGGCAGCAGGCTTCGGCTTTGGCTTCGGCTTCGGCTTAGCAGCTGCCGGCGTCTTCTTCTTGGCCGGGGAAGATGCAGATGGCCTAGTAGGTGGAAGCTTGAATGAACCTTTGACTTTGACGAGTTTCCCAGCAGCAACAAGCTTCTTCAAGTGGTAGAGAAGAAGCTTCCTGAAGTTCGAGGGAAGCTGCTTGTGCTTCTCCTCAATGAACTTCGCAATCGCGTATTGGCTTGAACCGGTTTTCTCCTTCAGTGCCGTAATTGCGTCTTTGATCATCTGATGAACAAGCAGAAGCAAAATTGAAATCAGATTCAGATTTCAAAATTAAACAACAAATGGCAAGAGAAAATGCAGAGAATCACAACTCAGATCGAACCTCTTCATATGAAGGATGAGTTGGAGGGTTACGGGACCTAGTAACCTTCTTAGGTTTGGGTTCCTTGGACTTCTTAGCCTTTGCTTCAGATTTGGGCTCCTCCTTCTCCTCTGGCGGAGACTCAGTGGCTGCAGGCTCGGGCGCTGGTTCCACAACGACAGTAGGCTCTTCCGTTGCCATGGAAATGGCTAGGGTTAGGACTTGACTAGGAAGAAGAATTGGGATCTGTGTGTAAGAACGTTGAAATTGAGAATGTAATGGTAATTGCAATTTCGGTGTGAGAGGAGATAGAATTTTGATGGTTTAAATAGTCATGTGTCTGAAAGACTATATCCAAATACTTATTTCTGATTGGTTCACCGGACCCTCACACGGATTGAAACCTTGTCTTAGTTTGAATGTTAGCCCTTGGATGGGGGTATCATCAACGGTTGTTAAACGGGGAGGCTGGTTAGAATGTTTTGGGTGCTATAGGTTGTTTTTGGTGTGTTTCTAAGCTCGATTCATTTGAAGATTACTCTCGCTGTGGTTAATGAAACTAGGTGGCGTTTTTTGAGTTTTGTAGATTATTTTATGAGCTTTCTTATGGTGGGTGTAGTGTGTTAAATAGATTAGTTTTGTGGGAGAAATTTTGTTTTGAAGGTGCAATGGTCATGAGTGGGGTTTCTTGTGATGTTATCAAGGTTTTTCCCGAACTGAGGGGAATGCTTTGGCTGGGGAGTAAATCAATTCACCCCATGTCAAAACAGGTTAACACAGGATTCCATTGCATCAAGAATCACGAAAATCCGATTAGATTTTATTATGGAACGATGGTTTAGAAAGTGATCGAAGTTGAACAAGTATAACCAAAGACGTGTGCTACCTATTGACTAAAGGCATTATTGTTTCTCATATATTATGTTGAATTCTCATTCTTTTGCTCAAATTCAATATTGTAACAATGTGATGCCATGTAATTGTAGTATGATTTCAATTCAAAAACTAGTTTTCACAACGAAATTTTTTTTTTCTTATTATTAATGCTTTTAAATAGTAAGTACATGGTTTGTTGTGCAAGACTATGCATGTTGGATGCTAAGCATCATTGTTACTCAATTATTTCACTTAATTTATTCAATTCTTGTTTGAATTATACTAATTTACCTACAAATTGGATATATAGTATTCACATTGTGTGATTTATATAAAAAAAAAATATTCATATATTTAATTAGATTTGATGGAAAGGTTATACTCCCTTATGAGGTGATATTAGTTGTTTGAAATTAAGTTTATATTTTGTTATTGTTGTTTAAAAATATATTTTTACAATGGTGGAAATAATGTCATGTTATTTTATTTCAATATCATAGGAGAAGAATGTATTCCTTAAGTCAATAAGAAGAATGTATTCATTTAGTCAAGAAGAATTATATATTTATTCTTCATTCTAATACCTCATTTTAATATAAAATAATAATTCATCTTAATTATTAAAATTTAAAAATAAATGATGAAATAAAAAGTAATTATTTAATTCTTATTTTTAAATTTAGTATAGAAACACATTACTATAAAAGAATCGCAATATTTATATTTGTTTGTTTCTTTGAAATATAAGAAATAAACTTTCTCTAAGGCAATTTAAATTTATACTTTTAATATATATATATATATTAAACTATGCTACCAAAACAATACAATCACTTTGAGGAAAAAAAAAGAAGTTTGATTGACATATATTATAAAAGTTATATGTGTGGACAATCTTTAAACGTTAACAATTATTTAAAGATTTAAACTATACCAAGAATAATTATGGTTAAATTGAAATGTATTTTACTTTTTACTTTTTTTTATGATAGATAAGAATACGTATTTGTTATTATATAAAATATAAACTCAAATATATTTTTGGTAGCTTTTTGTTGTGTTTAATCCATAATTTTTTGTTTCTTCATTTTAAAATAGAGACATTGAGCTCTATTGTAAAATTTTAATAATCTAGGTTAATTTTTAATTTTGACAAAATGAGCAAGTATTATTAATTCATAGAAAATTTGTTTAACCTACTTTTTAATATTTATCCAATTCAATATTGACCTAAAACATTAAAATTCATATTTTCCCCCTTAAAAATTACAATAGATTCTTAAAAAAAACCCCTTAAAAAAAAACTCGTTGATTTATATATATATATATATATATATATATATATATATATATATATATATATATATATATTATTTTACACATAAGATGCACGCTTTTGTATCATTTAAAAAAAACATTGTAATAATATCCTAAATATTTTTTTAAGGAATTGTTTAAGCATAAATTATAAATAATTTCAACCGTAAGAAACATGTATTTCAAAAGTTACACGTGTGAAATAATTTGTCTTTGAAAAAATAATTTTTTTATATATAATTTGACTCTCCTTATTTAATAATTTCTAAGTATTCATTACACTTATTATTTATGTATTTTTTTCAATGAAAAAACTAAAACCAGAATGTGAAACTTAGTGTATTTGATTTGATGGGTTAATTTTTAGGATTTGGGCTTTGGAGTTATATATAACTAAATAAATCTAATATAAAAGATAAGAAATGCGTTAGATAGGCGATAAGAATATAAAATAATTAAATCTATTGAAAGTTTTAAAATAATTAAAACATTACATTTTACTAAATTATCATATAATATGATTTCAATAAGTTATTTAATGATAAAATCATATAATAATAAATGATAAGCTTTCAATTATGGTAATATAAATTATAAATAGTAATTTTTATCATATATATATATATATATATATATATATATATTATATTTTTCTGAATTTAATGGCTTAAAGTTAGTTAAATAAAATTATTTAAATATTTATTTAGAAAATTAAATAATATTTGACCATTTTGATATGTTTTATTATTGATTTTGTTTGATTAGGTTAAAAAAAAGACTTTAACTTAAGCAAGGTACATACTCCCTTAAACAAAAAGATAAATGATGTGACCATAAAAAAAAAAAATAGTTTAAGTTACAAATGAAGATAAGGACAATAAAGTAAAGGAATAGTTTTATAAAGATAGAAAACTTTTGTAAAAAAAATATTTAATAGCTCTTATATAATAAACTCTTTGTAGGTATAAGGTTAGTTAGGAAGAATAAGATAAATTTCTTAATATTTGATTACATGTATAAGGGGAGTGTTTCACCTTCTTCACTTCTCTAGTAGTTCTTACATAATGAGTTTTCTTAGTCATTTTCCAAATATATTTACTTTGGAAAATTCTAGTCATTTGAGAATATTTGTGCTTAAGTATGAACGCTTTTGAGAAGTGAAGAACTTATTAATCTAGGTGATAGATGAAATCAATAAATAAGTTAGTCAATTGAATGATAAAATTGTAGTTCACGATATTATTTTAAATATTAAATACTGTAATTTTAAAATTGAAAAAACATTATATGAACTTTAGAATATTTTTCCTTGAAATGATGTTTTTTTACGAGGAAAATGAGTTATAAGAATGACCAACATATGTTGAAATTTTTTATGCCTAAATTTGCTTATCTAAAATTTCAATATTTTTGTGGAAATTTTTTATTAATCTATTGATTTTAATGTTATATGATGTTTTTCACATGCTAGTATTTTATCTTGGAGGAAAATCTACAAATAATAAGATATTTGTCTTTTATAAGATTCAAGTCTAAATATAGACTAGTTAAATTAGTATCTTAAAGTTTTCTTACTAGGTTCTTAAAGGTAGAAATATAGGTGGAGGTTGGAGAAGCTTGAAATGAAGAAGGTTATGATTCTTGGTGTATACAAGGTGTTTTTGGTTAGTTTAAAGGTGAGATATGGTGTAAACAAGTCAAGGGTGGAGATAAGCTACAAGATTTGCATTATAGGTAAGGTTTAAGGATGATTTGGAGTATAGGTTTAGGGTTTAGGAAATGAGGAAGGTATGATAAAAAGAATACCTTTGGTTGATTTTTTGGCAATAAGTGGAGCTAGATTTCATGAATTTTGATCATTTATTAGGCACCACTCTAGACCAAGAGATAAGCAAATAAGGAGAATGATTGGCCACTTGGAAAATCGACCTAAGATAAGAACTCATGAAAGAGAAAGTTCAAGTCTTCTAAGAAACTCTAGTTTTTCATTCAAATCAACGTTGTGAAATGAGTATATGGGTATATGGGATGTCATTTTACATAAGGAATGTAATGGGTAAGAATTTTTTGGTCAAACAGGAATCTTCTCATCCTTACCCACAAATTAGGCCTAAAAAGTCTTCCAATCTAAATAAGCCCATTCTAAGAGAATTTAGAACATAGTCATAACCAAATAAGAGAGTTTAATTCTAACTAAGACTAAAATATGTGTACAAAGTAGAATTAACTTAACCTACATTACTACATTATTTAGAAAAGTCCTTATGTTTAAGTTACCTCAATATAACTCCTCGTCAAATTTCCTTGTCTTGCTTTTAGTCATTAACCCATAAAAGCTCTCTTGATTTCTTGAACTATTCTAACGTTTTTTTGATCTTTAGTCTTGTTTGTCTCTTTTCTTTCTTGATTTATTTTGTTGTTTCTTTTTTATCCATGACATCATTAAATGATAGGATATTAAATGGAAATATTGGAACATTTTTTTCCTTAAACAATATGGAGGTTTATATTTAATTAAAATTAATAATACCAATTATATTTTGAAGATCATCAAGCTTAGAATGAGAAATATATATAGTTAAACTATTAGGATTTTTCTTAATTATAATATAGTTGTAAATTATACAAATGTGATGTAATGAAATACTATTGTTGGATTTTTACTCGAAAAGGTATATTCTAATGCATTTTTTATATCATTGGATGGTGGAAAAGGATTGAAATCATGTATTCAATATTACAAAAGTTTGATAAGTAGTTTCACAATCTAATTTCACATGTTGCTTCAAAATATAAGAAATAAGTTATTAACTTCTTCTTGTTTGAGTCTTTATAGAGATACTTTGGAGATATTAGGTACGCAGGGACATAAATGTTACATTATCATACTTCTTTAACTATTTGTGATAGTCTAATTATTATTTGTATTTTTGTGTTATATATTTTTTTGTAATATTAATAAAAGATATGTTTTGTAGTACATTGAAGATTTTGAAAAAGAAAGAAAATAGATAGATATTTATAATATTTTTAATGTGGCTTATCTATGTTAACTTGGTAAATATGACTAATTAATGTAATGTATATTTTTAACAAATTATGGACCATATTAACTCATGATTTTTAACAAATTATTATTTAGGAAAGTGTATCACAACATATACGATGTTTTATGATTATCAATTTTATAGAAATTATTCAAATATGATTTCAATTTTGAATGATATTTTAATTTAAAGTTTTAATTAATATTTTTATAAATTTCATAATTAATATATATATATATATATATATGTATATATATATATATATATATATATATATCATAGTTAATTAAGATATATAGAGAATGATCTATTTATTTCAAGAATAAGAGTTATAATTTTTTTCTCATAAAATAAAATAAAATCCATCTTAACTCTTAAATTAAAAGAAAATGAATAATAAAGAAGAATAATAAATATTTAACTCTTATTTTTGGAGTATATATATAGATATATATGATTGGAAAAAAAATTATACCAATGTAAACATGAATACATATAAAGTGTGACTATGTAAGAAATATTATAGTATCTTATTATTGTCTTTCTTATTGTTAATAGGAAATATTTACTTGTTTTAATTTACAAAGTGTAGAAATGAAAATTTACCTTATTTGATATAGAAAAACTTATTAGCATAAAGTAAATAAAAATTTAATAATATTATTTATATGAAGCTAAATTTATTTAAAGTAATTTTGTTACTTTAAAAGTTTAATACGTTTCTTGAGAATTAGGGATATTTTAGTAATTTGATGTATATTTTAATTAATATTAAATTTAATAAAAATGATGATAAATAAATAAATGACTATAGAGAATTAAATTAAATAAATTCTGTATACTTTAATTAAATCAAAATAAATAAATTTTTATTTTGAGTATATGATAAATTTTTTTTCAAATTGACTTGCTAATAAATTAAAAAAATGGTTTATGTTTATGTAAAAATATTTATTTGTATTTTGTCTCAATTATTATGTTGACTCTTTTAATTGATTAATGAAATATTTGGGCTTATCATAATTTTGTTAGACAAATGACATCTAGAGGGGTGAATAGAAGCAAAAATTAAAATAGATATCAAATTAAAAATTTATTTGTGAGTTAATAATTTGTTTGAACACAGATAAAACGGAAGCGATAATATAATCAGGAAAAGAGAAAGAGATAAGGGAAAGAGAAGAACACACAGAGATTTATACTGGTTCGGTTATATAGTCAACCCTACATTCAGTTCCCAGTCAACTCTTAACACAAGAGTGACTCTCAATTCACTATCTTTCAAATTCAGTTTACAACTTACAATCAACTCAGCAAAAAATAAACTAATTCAAAAGATAATCACCTCCTTAGAAACCCACTAAGGATGAACACCTCCCTAGAATCCCACTAGGGATGAACACCTCCTCTGAACAAATCAAAGGATGAAAAAAAATACCTCCTTAGAATCCCACTAAGGATGAACACCTCCCTAGAATCACACTAGGGATTAAAACCTCCTTTGAACAAATCAAAAGATGAAAATACCTCCTTAGAATCTCACTAAGGATGAACACCTCCCTAGAATCACACTAGGGATGAAAAAACCTCCTTTGCCACCAATACACAAAGGATGAAGGTAATAATAAAAATAAGAACAGTCAAACCTGGATAATGGAGACAACAAATTGTAGAAGCCTGTAGAATGTCAATCTCCAAGAATAAGTGTGATTAATAATGAAAACACAAAAGACAGTAGAAAAGAGGGTTTTCTCAGAAGGTGTAAAATGTTAGAATCGCGCAGCAGAATGTTCGCGTGGTCGGACAAAAACCAAGAGGGGGGGTGAATTGGTTACTTAACAAAAATTAGGTTTTCAAAATTTTCCCCAAATTTTACCGATTAAAAAACTGTGTAAATGTAAATAGAGAAAGGGATAGAGTCTTACACAGGAAATTTATACTGGTTCGGATCAAAAGACCCTACGTCCAGTTGCTAATCACTCAAACAGATGATTAACGCCGTTACTATAATCAAATTGTTACAATACAAATTACAATGGAAAAGATAAAGTTAAAGATAACACCTCTCTTGAAACCCACAAGAGATGATGAACAACTTTCCCTGGAGACGGCACAACACACAATCCACTAAGAACTCCACTTAGTGATTCTTATCGCTTCTAGCCCACACCAGGTTCCGAAAGCCCCTTTTTCTTGCAACAAACAGTTCTCTGGCACTACAACACTTAAATTTTGTATGAAAAAAGTTGTTCTACTTTTTTGAGTGCCATAGAAGAGTTTAAGTAAAAAAATTAGGGTTTAGGAATTGGGGATTTCGAAACTAGGGTTCTTGGAAATAGGGTTTTCGAAAATAGGTTTGATTTGAAGTTAAAAATCAAAATCTGACTGAAATAATCGATTAAATGAAGTGTTAATTGATTAAACCAGAGCCAAAAATCAACAGAACCCAAACCTCTCTGTTTTAATCGATTAAAAGGGGGTTTAATCGATTAAACCGCCTGTTAATCGATTAAAAGTTGGTTTAATCGATTAAACCAGTGAGTTGTTACAGAAAATGATTTTTCTCACTGTTTTAATTGATTATTTCCCTATTTAATCGATTAAAGCCGAGCCTGGATGATAAATTTGAGCTTTTTGAAGCTTATAAGGTGCAGACTATGTACCGGCTATCTTAAACTCTAATATTACAGACTCAATCTAATTGAAACAGAGTTATTACAATACAAAACAAGTCTTCAACACTCTAAGTCTTTGTGTTCTTGAATCATCATCAAAATCAACAATCTTCATGTCCATCAAGTGCAACATCAAGTCCTTGAATGTTCAACAATCTCCCCCTTTTTGATGATGATCAAAATTATCTTTTAAAGCCTTGTAATAACATGTTTTATCTATCATACTAACAAACACATTAAACATACCAGATAATATTTAAATGCAATTCATAAGAGGCTTTAACTATTTCTCCCCCTATTTTGATTATAATAAAAAATAACTCTGCAATAACAATCATAAGAGCTCCCCCTCAAAATATGCATAAGTTGGAGATAACTCCCCCTTGTTGAATTATTGGCAAGCGTACCAAATTATTAATCGCAGTATAGTATTTCGATTAAATAAAAGTCGATCCTACGAGGAACAGTTTCAATGGAAATTCCCAATTATGCTTACTAAGTAGATTAAAACATATTAGGTTTTGCAAATAAGATTTGAATTGAAATTAAATGACAAAGACTTGTAAATTGTTGAGAAAATATCAATTAAAGGTACTTAGGATTGGCTTCCTTCCTTATCCCTCTTTTGTAATGGCTAAATCAATTAAGAACATCAATTAACCTAACAATGTTGATTCCTCACACATGAAATTCATAAGAAAACCTAATAAATGTTGATTCCTCACACAATTAACAGATTTTCCAGCATTAGGGTTAGGGTGTTAAGCAATTGATACATTCATTCCATTCCTGGCAATTAACGTAACAAATATTCTTATCGTGATCTAGGGTTCAAGATATATTTTCCAATCATACCTCAAACAATCAAGAATAAATCATTCCAAAGCATAAAGGATAAGAATAACAACATCAAAGCATAGATTAATATATCAAAATATCACC